GTGGCCCGTAGAGCTCCTACACAGGCCACAGCCATCCACTCGCTCGCTAGCACCTTTGGGCCACTTCTATTGCGCACATCTCCGCCAGGGAGTGACATTGATGGGTGAGTGGGCTTGGTGGGAGTGGTCAGAGCTATGTGGGTGTGATACCAGCTGGGTGGGCAGGGCCAAAAAGAACCCCTTTGTGGGGACAGTGGGCTGCAGCACCTGGGGGCTAGAGTGAGGGAACTGCGAGAGACTTCCCACACTGCCAGCTGTTACCCTCTGCATCTGCCGTCCGCACATGGCACAGCTGTAACGCCAGGCTTTGACGCCCCACTTGTCCCTAGGAGTGAGCTTGGGCCTGACTTCCCAGGGCTGCTGTTGGGGAGGCTGCTGCAAGAACACATGGATGAGCAGGATGCTGCCCCCCCAGGTGACAGTGCTCTCACCCCCACCTCTGTTCCCGATTCCATGTGTACTTGGTGCGTAACGCATGCATGTTTCCCTGTCCCCAGCACTGCCGCCCAAGCCCTCTAAGGCAAAGCCGGCCCCCACAGCCCTGGCCAATGGAGGAAACCCACCCTCGCTTCAGGATGCAGAGTGGTACTGGGGAGACATCTCCAGGTAGTTTTGCTGCGGTGGAAGAGGGGGGTGGACAGTATGGGTCAGTGGCTCAATGCCCATGTCCCCCTCAGGGAAGAGGTGAATGAGAGGCTCCGGGACACACCTGATGGCACCTTCTTGGTCCGGGATGCATCCAGCAAGATCCAAGGAGAGTACACGCTCACCCTCAGGTGGGGCTGGGGCCCAGGCAGTGGGGGCCCAGGGGTTTGGGGCCTCCTATGATGCTGACCCCGCCCCCACATGCAGGAAAGGCGGAAACAACAAGCTGATCAAAGTCTTCCACCGGGATGGTCACTACGGCTTCTCGGAGCCCCTCACCTTCTGCTCCGTGGTAGAGCTCATCTCTCACTACCGCCACGAGTCGCTGGCCCAGTATAATGCCAAGCTGGACACGCGCCTGCTTTACCCTGTGTCCAAGTACCAGCAGGACCAGGTGGTGAAGGAGGACAGCGTAGAGGCTGTGGGCGCGCAGCTCAAGGTCTACCACCAGCAGTACCAGGACAAGAGCCGCGAGTACGACCAGCTGTACGAGGAGTACACGCGCACTTCCCAGGTACGGGCACCTGGGTGCACAGGTGAGCAGTGCTCCGCTGCTGCCCCGTGCTGGACGCCATTCCGTCCCAGTGGTGCTCAGAGTTATCAGGACATGAAGGAAGGATGGGTTTGGAAAAGAGTATGGAGGCTGAGTAGGAAGGAGTTCATTGGGTAGCCAGCACTAGGATACTGTTGCTCTCTGTGAAAGAGACAGTTGGAGCAAAATCCTCCTTCACTACTAGTGAGGGACTTTCAGGGAGTTCTGGGAGTTACTGAGGCCGACCCCATCCTCAGGAGCTTCAGATGAAGCGTACAGCCATAGAGGCCTTCAATGAGACCATCAAGATCTTCGAAGAACAGGGCCAGACGCAGGAAAAGTGCAGCAAGGAGTATTTGGAGCGCTTCCGACGAGAGGGCAATGAGAAGGAGATGCAGAGGTGTGTGTGGCTGCCCACTCCGGGGACATGATGCAGGGGGAAAGGAGGGTCGATGAAGGAGATTGGTGATTTGTGGAAATGGGCTTTGGAGGAAGTGTAGGAGTTTGCCACGCCCCTCCCCTCAGGATCTTGCTGAACTCAGAGCGCCTCAAGTCTCGCATCGCGGAGATCCATGAGAGTCGCACAAAGCTGGAACAGGACCTGCGAGCACAGGCCTCTGATAACCGAGAGATCGACAAGCGCATGAACAGCCTCAAACCCGATCTCATGCAGCTACGCAAGATCCGGGACCAGTACCTTGTGTGAGTGGCACCGCTGCTCCCACTCCTGCAACCCACCATTGCTGTCCCCTCCCCTCCTGTGCTGGGGAAACAACGGGTTCCTGACGCCCCCTACGGCAGCCAGAGGTACTGCAGTGAAAATCTGCTCTAGCTCATCTCAGTTTCCCCTTCACACATGCTCACCTATCTCTTCCCTGTCAGGTGGCTCACCCAGAAAGGTGCCCGACAGAGGAAGATCAACGAGTGGCTGGGAATCAAGAACGAGACTGAGGAGTGAGTGATGCCCCGCAAGGGGCAAGGAGGACTTCATCAAGGAGAGGGCATTTGTGTTGGGCAGTGGTGGGTGAGTGACCAGGGCCCCTTCCCTGCTTCATCCCACAGCCAGTATTCACTGATGGAGGATGAGGACACCCTCCCCCACCACGAGGAGCGCACGTGGTACGTGGGCAAGATCAACCGCACACAGGCAGAGGAGATGCTGAGTGGCAAAAGAGACGGGACCTTCCTCATCCGGGAGAGCAGCCAGCGCGGCTGTTACGCATGCTCCGTGGTGTGAGTGCCTGGCAGGGGTCCGGGTGGGGTGTTCCCTGAGAGTACATTGAGAGCCAGTGTGTGCTGGGCCCTGCCTACCCAGCTGGGAGGGGGTGGAGACAGATGGGGATGGAGAGCCAGCATAACCTCCCCTCCAAGCTGCTGTCTGGGCCCTCAGGGTGGACGGCGATACCAAGCACTGCGTCATCTACCGCACGGCCACAGGCTTCGGCTTTGCGGAACCCTACAACCTGTATGCGTCCCTGAAGGAGCTGGTGCTGCACTACCAGCACGCGTCGCTTGTGCAGCACAACGACGCACTCACCGTCACCCTTGCGCACCCGGTGCGCGCACCCGGGCCTGGCCCGCCCACGACCCGCTGAGAAGCCCCTACTCGCCTGTCCTGTCTTCGCCCTGCCGCCCCCCCCACCCCCAGCCGCACTGCCGTGTTTACAGAGGCTGCGGGGCCTCCACCTGGATGCCCCAAGATTTTCAAGCCATATCCCCAGGGCCAGGGCAGGAAGGAACTGCACTGGGCTGTTTCCAGGAATTTAGCCTGGACACTCGGGGCCGGGCGGGACCCGCCCCGCAGACCCCAACTTCCCCTCTAAAGGTCGAAGTGAAACCAACGGCAGGGGATTACCCTACAGCTACAAAGTTCCCCTTCCAGAAGGCAGAATTAGAACTCTGCTGCCTGGCCTCGCCCAGGCCCCCCTGAGCTGTTCTCCAACTGTGCAATCTTCTCTTTGGGACAAGGACCCTGGGTGTTACTGCCCATGGACCTCATACCTGCCCAGGGCTGACGGGGAACGGGTTTTGTACGGTACGTTTATTGATACGAATATGAAACATTGTACCTGTCGGCTGAGTGTCTTTGGGGACTGGAATTCTCGACTCCTCTCGTGAGCCACAGACTGGCCTGTCTGGGGGTCATCTGTTCGCACCTACCATTTTGATTCCCAAACACTAAATTTAGCGCACCCTTTTCTCCATTCCAACCCTCAACACCAGAGAGGTCAAGGCCTCGTCCAAGGTCACACAGCATAGCACTGCATCTCAGAGCCCCTGTTCCAGGCTGCAGACCTCACCCAGAGCTCTGACACTGCTCAGGCAAGCAGAAGCTAGCTGCGCCTGTCACACCCACACAATCCACGACTTCCTTGTCGGGAAGAGAAGTGTCTCATGTCCATCTCCCTGAATGATGAGGTGAGGCCATGCTCTGGACCTCTGTGCACCTGTTGAACAAGTCCCTAGGGCCTGTCTGTAGTCATTAGCAAAAATAAAACCTTAGTAGCCCTGCCGTGGGGCGGAACGCAATAAGACTAAGCCCAGGAGTATTTTGCTGAGTGCTCCCCCCCCACAGCACAACCTGCCCCAGACTGTGTCCAGGAGCACCTTTGAACCCAGCTAGGACAATGGAACGGACAGAACCTGTCTGATCCAGTCCTCTGTGGGTTCCTTTATCTCATAATTCCAGATATTGTCCAGACAACATCCTGGGCAGTTTAAGAACTCCACCTTGTGATGCCTGAGGCAGGAGATTCACAAGCTTACATTAAAAGGAAACAAATGTTACTGCGGTGGGGGCGTGGCTCAGGGGTGGAGCCCCTGCCTAGAATCCCCAGTGAGGGGCTGGGGTACGTTTGGGATGGAGTCTATGCCCGAACAATGTGAGGTTCTGGAAGGTCCAGTCTTGGTTAGAACAGGTCCCCTCAGCATGTAGCAGTTCAGCTGTGGAACTCAGGTCGCCTCAGCAGCCTGCTGCCTCCTGCACAGAAAACTACGGTCTCCCCAGAACTGGAGCAGACCCTTCCATGAGTCCCTGGCCTCAGCCTGGAGCTTCAGTTACTACGTGGCCCGGAATATTTCCTGCTGCTGTGTTCTGTGGCCTGTCACTGCTCCAGAGTCCCCCGTGTCCAGTTTTCATCATGACTTGGTGCAGAGGTTCCAGTCCCAACCTAGGTTACCTTCCTGGTGGCTCTGTCATCAGCCATGTGTCTGTCACTCATGACCCATTTTACAGAATGGGAACTGCAGCTGACGGAAAGAGGCGGCATCCAGGCGCATCCCGCACCTCCCTCCCCGTGAGGCACTCCAGTGCCAGGGGGCTTTGCCCACACAGTTTTTGGAAGAAAAGTACCCTACTTGTGTCCCCCACCCCAAGCCGGAGCCCGGGACCTTAGAGATGGGAAGTTGCCTGGCCTGAGCTGGCTTCTGTGCTGAGGTCTAGCCTGAGTCAGCAGAGGCAGGAGGATGTGCTGGAGCTGATTTGGTCAGGCCTGGGGTGGTGGGGGCAGGAATTAGTGATGAGGGTGTCATTCCCCCCACCTCCGCAGAACTAGAGGGTGGGAAGCGAGGACTCTGTCTCCTGTCTCAGTCGGTCAGTGTCTGGAGACTCCCCCTTCCGTCCCAGCTCCAAAGCCTCATGTGACGTGACAGTACGTTCTGGCCGCGGGAGGAGGGAACGCTGGACAGGGCCGAGTGGCCTCGTGATTTGGGGCGCAACTCTGGACTAGGGTGGAGCCTGCAGGAAAGGAGGCCCTGGGGTAAAAGGAGCCTGGGGGTGTGGTCTCAGGGGCGGGGCCTCTGCTTGCTTAAAGTCTCCCGCCTCCAAGGCCCAGCCAGCAGACCTCTCAGCATTTTCGTCCACGCCATGCCTCGGTCTCTGCTCCTGCCATTGCTGCCCCTTCTGCTGCTGCTGCTTCCGCTTGAGATCCCCAGAGCAGCCAGGGCATCTCCGCGGCAAGCGTCTTCCGAAGTTGCGGCCACCTGTAAGGTAGGTACCGCGACGCGCAGGAGGGGACAGGGTCAGGCGTCCACACAGGCGACTTCTCGGCACTCCGTGAACTCATTCGGGGAACTCCAAGGTCACCAAGAAATGCTGTCGCGCCCAGGGACATCCCCCAACCTCTCTCATCTGGGGATTGGCCGTGTCCAAGTCGTTTTGCTTCCACATCGCAGGTCTGAGACACACAGCTACCACCTTCCCGCCTCTCCCGAGCATTTATCAACCACGTATAGTATACATCTGAGCCAAGAGCTGAGGAGTAGGCAGGCGTGCGGGGGTAGCTTTTCTGCTCCAGACCTGTTGAACCACTGGTCCGTCCTCCACCCTCACGCAATTCTTGTCGCTTACTGTGTGCGTTCCAACCGAGGAAGGGAGAGTTGGCGTGCTTCTGACACGGAACAAACACATGCCCCTCACGCCCAGTGCCTTGTTCAGACTCGGACTCGCCTCCTGCCCTCCACGGGAACAGGAAGTCTGCTCGCATAAGCTCCCTCCTGTGTCTAGTCGGGCGGACAGGGTGAAGTTTCCCTGGATCACAGGAGAGAAAGAATGAATAGAGTCTGCGTGGGTGAAAAGCCTCGGCTCAGCTCTGGTGCGCAAAATTAGAGAGAGAGAGAGAGAGAGAGAGAGAGAGAGAGAAGAGGGAGGAGAGAGAGAGAGAACCCCTTTGGCTTCAGAATGTCTGCCACCAAACAGTACTGAGAGCAATAACTACAAATATGCATGTCTTATTTTTCTTTTACCACCAAGCATAGCTACAAATATGCAAGTCTTAGCGCTTACCGAATGTCGTCAGGATGGTGCATTATTTACTGAGCGCCTACTGTCGGAGAGTTTGCAAGTTTACCAGTTTCCGTTTTGCAGATAAACTGTGATTGCGGAATGCCATGTAGACTCCAGCAAGCCTCAGAAGGCCCAGGGCGTGGCCCAGCTGTAGACCGCACACACCTTGCATGCATAAAATAGCCCTGGGTCTGGTCCCCAATGCCACAAGGCTTAACAAATCAAGCGTGTCAGGCGAGGGGGCCCGGGGCGGCACCTCACTTGACGCCTCTCTCTTTCCAGGCCCAAGATCTGTGCTTGCTCGGGCCACGCCCACTGCCCCCTGCGCCGCCAGTCAACGTCAGCCTCTATTATGAGTCCCTGTGCGGAGCTTGTCGGTACTTCCTGGTCCGAGATCTGTTCCCGACCTGGTTGATGGTTATGGAAATCGTCAACATCACCCTGGTGCCCTACGGAAACGCGCAGGTGCACGGGAAGCGGGGAGACAAAGGCAAGAGGGGTGCCGGGGGATGGAGACGCCTGAACACCTGAGTTCACCAAGATCGGTCGGTGCCTTGCAGGAAAGAAATGTCAGCGGCACGTGGGAATTCACGTGCCAGCACGGGGAGCTGGAGTGCAGGCTGAACAAGGTGGAGGTGAGCTGCAGCTTAGTGCGCCGGGGAATGTGTGTTTGGGGAAGTGGCCACATCGCACCGACCACTCTTGCCTGCCTCTCCAGGCCTGCCTGCTGGATAAGCTGGGAAAGGAGGCTGCGTTGCTAACCATCGTCTGTGTGGAGGAGATGGAGGACATGGAGAAGAAACTTGAGCCGGTGAGCTGTAGGTGGAGAGACGAGCCACAAGTGGGGCTGCTGTGGGCTGCAGTGGGACGGGGCAGGAGGCAGCGAGTCACAGGGCCTCCGCCTGGTCCTGGAAGCTTCCAGCTCTGAAAGGAAAAACCTTAGGTCTGTGAACAGAATCTTCACTGTGAACAGAACCCAGGACCTTCACTATGCAGAAGCAGTGATCGTGATCATGACAGAAGATAAGCCAGGCGCTCCAACTTCCCAGGGCATTATGGGAAATAACCCCAAAAAGGGTGTTTCAGGACCAATGGCCCCCAGGCATCCCAGCCTCCTGGAGCCTCGAGCCCTGCTCACTTGGAAGGACTGGAGGGTGAGATACTGGGAAGGAGTAGGAAGGGTGTCCCAACAGAAGGAACAGCACGTGCAAAGACTCCGAGGTAATGGGTAATGAGACACCGAAGGGCAGAGGATACAGAGCAGGTGTCCTGGGGGCGGGAACAGCACCAGGGCCTCGGCTTCAGGAACCCCACCCATGCCTGCCGAAGCAAGAGCAACCGTCTCTGAGCAGTGAGGAAGCAACTTGTTTGGGGCCACTCGGGACTGTTGGCGAGATAACAGGGGTAACTGAGCAAAGCCTACCCTCCCACCCCACAGTGCCTGCAGGTGTATGCTCCAGAGGTGTCAGCAGACAGCATCATGGAGTGTGCCACCGGGGAGCGTGGCACACAGCTCATGCATGCCAACGCCCAGCTCACTGAGGCCCTGCAGCCGCCCCATGAGTACGTGCCGTGGGTCCTGGTCAATGAGGTAAGAGCCTCCACTGTGCAGTAAGTAAAGTGTACTGCAGGATTGAGGCTCAGAGTTCAAATCCCCAGACCCATGCGGAAAAGCTGCACGTGGTGACCTGTGTGTGTAATCCCTGGGGCTCCCACTCTTCCAGAGGAACCGAGTGCGGTTCCCACCATCATCATCATCACTCCCACATACAGACATCCTCATTGAAAATAAGTGAGCTTTTGTTTTGCTTTGCTTTTTCGAGACCTGGTTTCCCTGTAGCTTTGGATCCTGTCCTGGCACTAGCTCTTGTAGACCAGGCTGGTCTCGAACTCACAGAGGTTGCCTCTGCCTCTCGAGTGCTAGGTTTAAAGGCGTGCACCACCGTCGCCTGGCTCAAGTGAGATGTTTTTAAAAAACCAAGATGGAGCGTGACTGGAAGACACTGCATGAGGGGCTAGAGAGACAGTTCAGTGGTTAAGAGCACTGACTGCTCTTGCAGAGGATCCTGATTTTATTCCCAGCTATCACATCTGTAACTCCAGTTCCACTGGACCTAACGCCCTCTTCTGGCCTCCGTGGGCACAGCACAGACATGATCTAAAGACACGCTGGCAACCGTCCCCCCCTACCCCCGCCCTGCACATGAAATAAGATGAATAAATCTGAAAAAAAATGGTTTAATTAGGAAAAAAAAACCATATGAGCTCTGGTCTCTGCTCACACAGAGTTTTTATGCCTGATACCAGCTACTTTGCCTCGTTCAGCACAACTGAGCTTGTTCCTCCTGTCTCAGCGCTCTAGTGCTGCATTCCCAAGCTCATGTATCTCCCTCGGCTGTGCTTAACCATGTCTTCTGGGGCTTGCAGAAACCTTTGAAGGACCCCAGTCAGCTCCTGAGCTCTGTCTGTCAGTTGTACCAGGTGAGCTTGTCACAAATCAGTGGGGTTCAACTGGGGGAATAGTGTTTCCCAGGAGTGGGGGTGGAGTCTCCCCAGGGTGGGGGGTGGAGTCTTCCCGGGATGGGGGTGGGGTCTCTCCAGAGAGGGGTGGAGTTTCCCTGGAGAGGGGTGGAGTCTCCGCAAACCTGACTCCTAGCCTTTTATTCCTCTTCTAGGGAGCTGAGAAGCCCGATGTCTGCTCCTCCATGGCTGACCCCCCCAGGAAGGTTTGCTACAAGTGAAGGTCATTGTGGAAAGAAAAACGAGAGCCCAGCTGCACAGCCTTCTCAAATCCACAGCCCTCAGCACTCATTCACCCACGAGAAAACTTGGACATGTCCCACCAAACAGCCTTGAAACTCTCCACATATTCAAGAATCTTGCCTTGTTTCCAATTGGTGCTAAATTTAAATTCATTGAATAAATAATTTAGATTGATTCATTTGTCCTGGAGTTTTAATTTGTGAGTATTTTGTTGTTTGTTTGTTTGTTGAGACAGGGTGAAGAGTCCAAAAATAAAAATATAGAAATGTAGATTCCAGAAATAAGAATGTATAAATAAAGAAATAAGGTTGTAAGCCTAGGAGAACGAGCGCAGGCTGTCAGCAGCTTTCTCAGCAGCTTGAGATTTAACTATTAGTGGTGGGTTACTTTGCTTTACAACCCATAGTTCTGTCTGCAAGACTGTAGCGGTCCTCTGCAAACTGAGGGTCAGCTTTTAGATAACCAACACTTGATGTGAGCTGAATTAATCTTTAAATGATGGGGTGTACGTGACTTCAGGTTTTTTTGGTTGTGCATTGTCCCTTACCCTTCCCTGCTACAGAAAACTGGCAGTCTCAGGGGAAGGCAGAGCATTGGTAAACACCATCAGGAGTGCCAGGGAAGAACGTGTTAAATACAAGCACTAGTGTAACTAAAAAACTCTGTTAATGGAAACAGTAAAGAAGCACAATTTGTATCTGAGTTTTACCTCAGAATTAAAAAACTCTTTTGTTCATGCCTAATGCTTGGTTCTTGCTATGAAAAGGGGAGTTCAGAAACGCCTGTCTCTGGCTGTGGTCTCAGCTGATGAGCTTTTGTGCCCCATGGAGATTTATTTTTTTAATTTTTAATTTTTTTCCTGGAATAAAGTTTGCTTCTGGTTTGATAGACTTCGGTGGTCTATCCTCCGTCTTTGTGGGACCCCAGTGGACCCAGCAAGGGTTTCTCTTGTAACAGTTCTAGTCCTGGAACTCTCTCTGTAGACCAGGCTGGCCTCGAACTCACAGAGATCCGCTTGTCTCTGCCTCCTGAGTGCTGGGATTAAAGGTGTGTGCCGCCAGTGCCACTTTGTGTTTCTGTTTTTGATGTGGGTGTGTAAGCCAGGGCTCAGCGGTTGCTCAGCACACTATCTATGCCTGAGCAGCCGTGCTCTGGACCCTGGAGTTTATGCCTCATTTGAAAAGACCGAAAATACAAGTCTATATGAGTTACTGTTTCATTGTGTGTGTGAAAAAATACAAAAGCCACTTAAGGAAGGGTCTGCTCTGGGGGGAGGCGGGGTAGAGGCGGGAGTTTGAAGTCGTGCTGCACCCAAAACTGGGAAGTGGGTGGGGCTTGTGCACCCACACTTAGAGGGTATCATTTCACCTCAATTCCCAGGCTAGCCCAGTGATTCTCAACCTGTGGGACACGACTCCTTATGGTTGCATATCAGATATTTACATGATGATTCATGACAGTAGCAAAATTACAGTTTATGACGCAATAACAAAATAATTTTGCGATTGGGGGTCACCACAACTTGAACTGTATTAAAGGGTCGTTAGGAAAGTTGAGAACCACTAAACTCAGGCTCTAAGTTTGTCACCAAGGTGACTCTAGATCCTGTTTGATTGACAGTATTGACGTCACACCTTCCTTGGATGGACAGGGACCAGTTACTGGCAGTCCCCTGTCCGGAAATGCAGAACCAAAGCCTTCTCTAGTTCGACGGAGCAGGGCTGAACCAAGGGAGGGATGTGCGCCAGGAGGACTTGTTATGGGTTAGGGTCTTTGTAAGTTAAAATGGGGCTTTGAAGACTGAGTAGGCATTCCTTAGCCAGACACAATTCAGGGATTCGTCTCTAGCCTTTCACACACGGACTACAAGTCCCAGGATGGAGCACAGACTTCATCTGGGGGAAAATGTGTTCAGTATTCCAGGGTTAGGGGTCCGTGTACTGGCAGGTGGGACAATCGGGAGCTAGAGAACAGCATGACGGTTTGTGGAACAGTTAATAGCAAAGAATAAAAGAGGAAAGGATGTTCCGTAGGGACACAAAGTTGTGAAGAAGAGAATACATGATTTGCCTTCTGCCGAATGAACTACTCAGTCTTCAAAACCCAGGCACGGCGGTGGAGGCAGTAGTTCAAGGCCAGCCTGGGCTACAAGGCAACAGATTCCCAACAGCTGGGGTTAGACCGGTGTGCGTGCACTGTGCGGGCACCTTGTTCTTCAGGACCACTGCTTCCCCCACAGGAGAGGTCACGCCAAGGTCAAAGCCCTTCGCCCCGCCCACTCCGAGGAGGCTTCGAGGGTGAGGAGTAATCAGCGTTGCAGGAGCTCTCCGTCCGTTCCCGCCCCTGTCCTGCCGGAGGCGCAAAACACACAATTGGTCAGTTCGGTCCAGGGTGCGGGACGATACGGTTAGCAGCTGCGGAGGACTTCCGTGTTCCCCGAGGTGACGAAGCGCAATGCTTGTTGGCGAATGGTCAATGAATTCGAGAGGCGGGGATTTCGGCTTCTTATTGGTCCGTGCAGAGTAGGGCGGTTCTGCGGCATGGCATTCGATTGGGCAGAAGGGTCGGCGTCGAAGCGTGTGATTGACGCGCGCAGGGGGCGGGGCCAGGACTCGAGCCGCGGAGTCTCCGGAGTGGCGGCGGCGGGGACTCGGTTGTGTGCGCGGCGATGGCTTCCGGCGGCTGGCGCTGGGCTCGGAAGGCACTGGCTGCGGGGCGGCCGCTGTTCCAGGGCCGCGCGCTGCTCCTCA